TTCAGACGTGCTCGTGCACAGCTTTGTGCCGTGCACTGGGACTGGTGCCCCCCCACCCCCCCTGCGCCCCCTCCCCCAAGCACCACATCTCCCCTGCCCTGTTCACTTCTACCACCTCCAGCAAGACCCTCCCACCCGTGAGCCTGAGCTTCCTTCCAGGACAAGGACTGGCCCCCTGCCACTAGTTCAGACCCCTGTGTTGGGGATGTGGGCTTGTGGGAGGCTGCTTTCTGTCCTGTCCACCTTTCTAGTCTGAGGCTCAGTGCTACCCAGGCAGCAAGCCTGGTTCCTGCTGCCCCTCCCATCACCACTGCACAGCCTTGACCTGGCCCTGGCACTCCTGACGAGGGACACCCCAGCAGATGCACAGTCCAGCCCAGATGCTCAGCAGCAGCCTTGAAATGAGTTCCAAGGGCATTTACAGGAGAGGCTGAGGGCAGAGGCCGAGGTTCCCTGTGGCAAGTGTAGCTTCTATGACACTTACTCTGCCTCCAGCTCTCACACCTTACGTGAAAAAACATGTGGTGCATCTTTCCAAAGTCCACTCTCCTTGGGAGGAAACCTGGGGACTATCTACTGTGTCAAGCATGTCCTATGATATCTCCCTGGGCATCACAGCCATCTTATCAAGAAAGTCCTTTATGCCCCCGGTGTGCCGCTGAGGTGCCATTGAACATGCTGCTCCATCTCCACATCCCCACGGGTGTTCTGGTGGCTCTCAGAACTGTCACCTCACCAGTTCTGCAGAGCTCATTCTCCCATCAAGACTGTCTGTTTGGACTTCCCTGGTCCTAATCTTAGCTGGTTCTTCCCAAATCCGCATCAAGTTTTTTTCTCCTCCTGGAAACTTTTCTTACTGTCTCATGTCTAAGCTGCTGGACCCTTCCTGTCCCTGCACATCTGGTTGTCCTGTTTTTGTCCCTGGCTATACATTTAGTTCTGGCAGGGGAGATTTTGTGTTTCTGTTAGCCTGGGACCTCTAGGGTTTTCACCCCTCTGAACCCAGGAAAGGATCTCATGGGGACTTGAAATGATGTCCCCAGCCCTAGATGGTCCCTGGACCTGTCTGAACTTGAACGTAGAAATGTCTTTCTTCTCTTTCAGGAAGTTCTGAGGGAACCCAGGCTCATGGGAGTTGGGGCTGGGGCTAGGAGGTACTGGGAGGGTTGATTTCTTCCCCACTCTGGGTGCTGTGTGGGTCTCTTTAACGTTTCTTCCCTGTAGATGATATTCTAAACAGTCTTAGTAAATAAGAAACACAGAGCCAAATACAGAGGTACTAGCCAAAGAGATTAGAGAGTCATGACCACCTTATCTTACCACCTCACTGCCGTTGCTTCCCCTAAGAGAGAGAGAGAGAGAGAGAGAGAGAGAGAGAGAGAGAGAGAGAGAGAGAGAGACCTTCTTCCCGTGTGACTTATGTTTTATTGCTTTCCTGTTCTGTCTTCTCATTGGCTCTAAATCCAACTACATGACTTCCTCATCACTGCCTGTCTATACAGACCTCCAGGTCTCTATGGTTGGTACTGGGATTAAAGGCTCATCTCACCACGGTTGGCTGTGTCCTTGAACACACAGAGACTCTGCCTGCCATGTGATCAGATTAAGGGCGTGTGCTACCACCCCCCTGACTGCTGTTCCTGGCTCGCTATGACCTCTGATCTCCAGGCAAACTTTATTTATTAATATACAAATAAAATCACATTTCAGCACAAATAAAATACCACCACACTTCCCTGATCCCTTTCCTGTCCTGGGGCCTGGAGAGGGATCAGCCTGGCTATGCTGTCAGCTCTGTGGCCCGGGCTGAGGGATGTCTTGAAATTCTGCTGCTGAACCAGGGAAAAGGTGGCCACGGATTCTTCCTCACTTATCTGGGAAGAAGCCGTGCATACTGTGTGCAGGAGACATGGGAGGGTGCTCCGGTCCAAAGCCTGCCATCCTAGTGCCGTGATTTTGCCTCAGTGGGGTGGCCTCCCCATGCTTTAGTCTCCTCATCCATAAGAAGACTCTAAGAACAACCCGGCGAGGTAGCTGGGTCTGTAACCTCAGTATTTAGGAGGTGGAGGACAGAAGATTGTCATGAGTTCAAGGACAGCCTGAGCTGCAGAGTGAGATCCCACCTCAGAACAAATAGACAATGAAACAACAGCAACAGCAACAATATCAACATCACCACCTCTCACTGCACAGCACAGCCTCAGACAGAGCAGCCCGGCCGAGTGGTTCCGCAGGATACTTTCATTCCCTTCACCACGTGAGGACAATTTTCTTTACCACTGTGCTTTGGTGGGGCTCTTGGGGAGGGACCCACAGTCTAAACCAGCTGGGGGTGTTTGTCTGGGGGTTGGGGGTGGGTTCTTTTTTGTTTGTTTGTTTGTTTTGAGACAGGGTTTCTCTGTGTAGTTTTGGTGCCTGTCCTGGATTTCGCTCTGTAGACCAGGCTGGCCTTGAACTCACAGAGATCTGCCTGGCTCTACCTCCTGAGTGCTGGGATTATAGGCGTGTGCCACCACCGCCTGGCTTAAATGCCCATGCAAAGCACAGATATCACCAAAGCGGACCGCAGAAGCTGCCTTGAGAATGTCCTTGACTGCTGGGGCCTCCATTGTGCTTCCTGTGGGGGACTTCCGGTTCTTTAAATAATTAAATATGAGTTTACAGGTCTCACTCTCCAAACTGGCCTGAAACTATGTAAATCAGGCTATCCTCCAACTCATCACCATCCTGTCTTAACCTCCCAATACTGTGATTACAGACGTGAGCCATCACACCAACCAAATAGGGAACTTTTTTCTACATTATTATTATTATTATTATTTGTGTGTGTGTGTGTGTGTGTGTGTGTGTGTGTGTGTGTGTGTGTGTGTGCTCTGCAGAAAGACTTCCAAAGAAGGTTTGAGTTTAATGTCTAAAAACAGCAACGGAGCTACAGAGCTGGGAGTAAGGGCTGAAGAGGCAAAGCAACCTCACACGACCCTTCCTGGGTCCGTGGTGATCTGGCTGGCTGGGAAGGCGAGACTGTCTGTGAGCAACATCTTTGTCACCCAAGAGTGGGCCTGGGCCGCATGGGCGTCTGCCACTAGCTTATTAACTCCTGGTGCAAAGCCTGGCACCGAGAGTGTGCCCAGTAAATACGTAAATGAATTGCATGCCTGAATGTAGTCTTTGGGGTGGGGTATGTTCATGTTTACAGCCTGACTCCCACCACTCTGGCCGCACGGTGACTCACAACACTGACTGACATCATCTTCCTGCCTAGGGGACCACAACAGCAGCCTGGAGGCTAAGCTCCACTCACAACTACCTCCTCTCCCACGCTGCCAGGCAGAGATAAGGGAGCCTGAGAAAGTGCTCTCAGCCTGAGGTGGCTGGTGGGAGAGGATGGCTCTGTCTAAGGCTGTTGTTTCCCCAAAGGACTTCCATGGTGGGCTGCGCCACCATGGAGGTTGAGAGTTGAGCTTTCTCAGATGCCTGGCGTCCTAACTGCAAGTGGGGAAGGCAATCTTTTTGGTGGTGTCAAGGGGCTAGTTCTGTGGCTCTTCACCCCAGGTAGGAGCTGAATTCAGTGCTTCAAGTAAGTGAGGGCTGCTTAAACTTCCCATGAAAGATCCCTCAGCCTCCTTTGGAGCCTCACTGAGGTCCTGCGCTTCTCTGTTAGGGTCCAAGCCGGCTGAGCATCTCAGCTCTGGCCTGGCAGAGCAAACATTGCCTCCATCCTTGCCTTAAGCCGGTCTCTGTCTCTTCTGGACTCTCCTCTCCCTGAACGATGAAGAGGTGAGGAGGGCTGGTCTCGAGGCCCTCTTCCACGGTCTGGGATCCTGCATCTGAAGTCTCTCCAGCGCTGTTCCGGCTGTGCTTGGTTCTAGAAACCTGACTGAGAAGAGAGTGGGAGATGATGTAAAGTGACATTGCCCTTAGGAACTGAGCATGTGGACTCCTGGTGGATAGGGAAGGAGAAGGATGATGGGGTACAGCATGAGCCATTTGGGGCCTCTTGGATATATGTACACCTTTAGATACTCCAAAATGGCTGGGCTCTGCTGGAAGGCTCCACCAAGGAGGAGCTTAGGGGTGGTCAGAGCTCCCTGCCCACTTCTAGCCCCGGGAAAGACAGCTGAGGTCCTAAGCCATAATACCCGTCTGAGGAGACCAGGCCTTTCTTTTCTTCCTTTCTTCCTTCTTTCCTTCCTTCCTTCCTTCCTTCCTTTTTTTTCTTTCTTTTTTGTTTTTTGTCTTTTATTTTTTATGTTTTGGTTTTGAGACAGAGTCTCATGGAACCCAGGCTGCCCTTGAACTTCTGATACTCCTGCCTTGGGCCTCTGCAGTGCTGGGATTATAGGTGTGTACCACCATGCCTAGTTTGAGCCAAAGCCTTCCAACCCACATTGTGTGCCCAGCCGGACCAACGGCTGGGCAGGGACCCTCCTTTTGTCCTTGGATCCTCTTTGCCCCACACAGGGTTTCCACCCAGCAGACACCTGCCAGGATAGACAGAAGAGCAGCTGCCCCACCCCTACGCTGTCACCTGTGCCCCCCACGCTGGAAGTGCCAAGAGACAGGAGGCCGTGGGCTGGGAGGGTGGGACTGGAGCAGGCCTGGGCACTCTCTCCACAACCCATTGCCCAATGCGTCTTCCCTTGCCACCTGCACAGCCCTGGGCCCCGGGGCCTTGGCTTACCACAGGGCCCTGGGACAAACCCCACAAAACAGAGCCCCATTGACGGCAGGCCATCAGGGCTGGGTAGGAGGAGACCAAGTCAGCCACTGGGTGGTGAGGGTAGCCGTGGGAGCCCTATCATCCTGTTCCAAGTGAGGAGAGCCTGCGGGGGCTAGGGGTGGGGGTGGGGGTGTGTGCTTCTCGCCCCAAGTAGTCTCTGCTTAGGTACAGCTCTCCAGTCTGGGTGATGGCTGAGAGGGGCCCTCCCATATCCTCGGGGAGAGGGGCTCCCCCCAGGCCCACAAGGCCCCTCCCTCTCACCTGTGGTAATCACAGCAGGAATGTGGAACCCAGGGCCAGCCCCGCTGGGAAAAGATAAAAAGGCCCTTGGCGGCTCAGCAGCTCACTGTGCTAGCTCCCTTGGCTCGCAGCTGCTCCTTCCAGCTCCCAGCTGCTCCCTCAGCTCCCGGCTGCTTCCCCACTTGCCGTCAGTCATGAGGTCCTCTGTGTCTCGGCAGACTTACTCCACGAAGGGAGGCTTCAGCTCTAACTCAGCCAGCGGAGGGGGCGGGAGTCGGATGCGAACCAGCTACAGCTCGGTGACCATGTCCAGGAGCAGCGGCAGCGGCAGTGGCGGTGTGGTCCGCTCTTGCCCCGGCTCTGGGGGCTTTGGCAGCCGAAGCCTCTATAATTTGGGAGGCAAGAACATCTCTGTCAGTGTGGCTGGTGGAGCCTCCTCTGGCCGGGCACTAGGAGGCTTTGGCAGTGGGGCCTATGTGGGCCTAGGGGCTGGCAGGCAGACATTTGGGCCAGTCTGTCCTCCTGGGGGAATTCAGGAAGTCACTGTCAACCAGAGTCTGCTGACACCTCTCAATGTGGAGATAGACCCTGAGATCCAGCGGGTACGCACCCAGGAGCGCGAGCAGATCAAGACCCTCAACAACAAGTTTGCGTCCTTCATCGACAAGGTGGGTGGGGCACAATTGGGGTTGGGGGGCTGGAAGCTGGACCTCTAATGGAGGGTGGTCTGGGCAAAGGGAGATTCAGCCATATGCACTAGGTAGGCAGGGTGGGATGACTGTGGTTTCTGCCTACCTTGAGTTGGGGTTGAAACCTGATGGCTGAGGTTTCTGCTGTGAGAGTGCCTCAGGTGACGAGGTGCCCAGCCCATCTGACTGCGTTGGAGCCTTTCATACCGTTAAGCAGCAGCCTTACCTCATAATCAAAACATGTGTGGTCCTCAGTGTTCCTGTTAGGGAGGTGGCCTTTAATGACTTGTGTCATTTTATAGCTGTGGGCAACCATGCATGGCTGAGGAATCATACAAATTATCCCAGGTTGAAGCCTTGGGACCCTGTCTGTCCTCTCCAGCTGGAGAAGCCTTGGGGTCAGTTACAATCAGAACATGGGGTACAAAGGAAACCCTCATTACTTCTCCTTTTCTGGTTCCCTGTTCCGGCCAAGAAGCTCAGGCTGGGGTGGACAGTGAGGAGGGTGGCCACCATACGGTTTGACTATTATGCTCTTTGAGTGTCCTGGGTCCTTGTCTCACCTACAGGGTGACTGGGATGGCTCTGGTGCCACTGTCTAGCATTTCTTGCTCCATTCTGTTAGCACTGTGTACCTTGGCTCTGAGCCTAGGTAGTGGGGTCATGACGAAGGTCTGAGGGATAACTCATTGGGTCCGTGATTTGAACTTTGAACACAGAAGGGCCCCATCCCCTTTCTCATGTGGCACCCACAGGGTTCCATGAGGAGTCAGGGTGGGTGAGGCTTTGTCCATTTCAACGATGTGAAAACAGAGGCTTAGAGTGGTCCTGTGACTTGCCCAGGATCACACAGGTACTTGACAGCAGAGATGAAACTGTGAAGTAGGTTGCAGAACCGCATAGTCTTGAGCACCAAAGTGCACCTGCTACAGAGCTCCTGGTCATGTGACTGGGCCAGGGTTGCTGTGGAGGTGGAACCTGGATAACAGAGGATGAGGCAAGTGCCGCCGCCCACTTCTCACCTTCTCCCCCGGTGACTTTTGGTTCTTTTGTGAGCTGCTGTGTGGGTGCTAGGAATTGAATTTGGGTCCTCTAGAAGATCAGCCAGTGCTCTTAACTGCTGAGCCATCTTGCCAGTGCCATCCATCTCTCTGATATTTTTGACAGTTGACTTTGATGCAGGATTGGTCTCATAAACACTGACCTCATCCAGTTTCACTCACGACAAGTGAGAAAGTGAAACAGAGAACCAGGTGCTTAGCTCGGTTACCAGCACACTAACATGAGCTCAGGAGCGTGTTTGTTAACTCCGGAGTCTTCTCCATCTGTGTGGACTGTCGTTCGAGCAGAATTGTTCCTTCCCAGTGAGATGTAGGTGATGCTGCACCACCTCAATGATGCCGGCCCCCGGGGTGCTAGACGAGGCTCCCCAGATGACGTCCACCCATCCTTTTTTCCCTGGCCAGGTACGTTTCCTGGAGCAGCAGAACAAGGTGCTGGAGACCAAGTGGGCCCTGCTGCAGGAACAGAGCCAGAACGTAGGGGTCGCCCAGAGCCTGGAGCCTTTCTTTGAGACTTTCCTGAGCAACCTGAGGAGGCAGCTGGATGCCAAGCAGAGCGAGCGTGGGAGGCTGGATATGGAGCTGAGGAGCGTGCAAGACAATCTGGAGGACTTCAAGAACAAGTGAGGGATATAATGTGACACTGTGGAAAAGAACTACCCCTCCCCCAACCCAGGGAGAGCGACCCTGCTGGGGGCCTGGGGCATTGGCATGTTTGTGATTTTTTTCATTTATTTATTTTGTTATTATTATTATTATTATTATTATTATTATTATTATTATTACCACTACTACCACCACCGCTACTACTACTATTATTTGTCTTTTTGAGACAAGGTCTCATTCTTAGCCCAGGCTAGCTTTGACCTCTTGGTGATCCTCCTGCCTCAGTCTCAGGGAATACATGTGTGAGTCACCCACTGCACTTAGTTTCATAATTTTAATTTATAAGGTAGGGGAATAGTGTCCCAAACCCTATGCTCTTGTCATTGACATTCGGCTCAGCCAATCTCATTTTGTCCCTCTCTTTTCCTGCCTCCTCCCTTTTTGTCTCCAAGCAAGTCTAGTCATCTTGTAACTTCATTCATAAATATGTTTACTAGGCACACGTGAGAGGTTGGTCAAATCACCTCTCCCGAGTAAAGCCAGAACTGACACAGGAAACCAGGGGCCTGGGGCAGCCAAGCCCAAGACTCATTTTTCTTACTACAGTTATAACAATTGCAAGTTTACAGGTCAGCAGTAGAGGCTGCTTCCCAGCCCAACATGCTCAAGGTTATATAAAGCACAACAATGCTATTTTTTCTTCAGAAAAACGTCTGAGGTACAGGAACATCACATGCCCTAACTATTCTCTAGAAACTGAGGAAGGCCACTGGCACTCCCATGCTCTTTCTTATGTTGGCATTCCACAGTCCCTTCTTGAGAAATACCAACATCGGATGTTCCTATGCCTGTATCCCAAGTTCCTTACATTCTCACACAGTCTTAATTCAAACCCCAACAGGTATGTTTCTATAGTCCATTTGCCTAACTCGACCTAACAAAACTTAAGCACAATGCCACAATCATATCTAAAATGTTCAGAATACTAGTTCCTCAGCCTCATGGAATACCTAGTTTGGAATTTTCAGCTGCTCCATAAATACCATAAACTTAGAAAATTGAGCATTTGAAATGAGATCCAAATGACCTTCCTACAACATGGTTGGCAGTACATATATTTATAACATTTAAGTGTAATTTTAAAATAATTTCTCCCAGGCAAAGGCAGGCGGATCTCTGAGTTTGAGTCCAGCCTAGTCTATAGAGCAAGTTCCAGGACAGCCAGGGCTACGCAGAGAAACCCTGTCTCAAAAACAACAAACAAACAAGCAAACAAGCAACAAAAAACTTTTCTCATAACTTGACACTGGCAATTTCTAAACCTTAGTCTCAGCAGAAGCAGTTGGGCAGGAGTTGTTTCAAATGGCAGCATGTTGTTGAAAGTGGAGACAGAGGTTAATCACTGTTGACACAGCTGTTCTGTCTGGTAGCACCTCCAAGGGCTCGGATCCAAAGAGATGGCAGTCCCACAGTGCCATAACATTGTGCAAATTCAGTGCCCCTTTCTTCAAAAAAGGGGAAGAAAGTGTTTAAATAAAGACATCACCCCAGCTTCTTCACTGGTTGGTAGTATTAAAGAACTGTTCCCCAAAGATGTTTCTGGGTGGAGGGAGAAACCTATCAAGTCTTTCTGGGAGTCATGAGCCCACTGCCTAAAAGACAGAACTGGACTGAGCTGACCTGAGCCTTCCCTGTGTTACAGGTACGAGGATGAAATCAACAAGCGCACTGCCTTGGAGAATGAATTTGTGTTGCTCAAGAAGGTGTGTGGGGTGGCCAAGCTGGGGGAGGAGGTCCTTTGGCTGCCAGGGGCCTGGGTGGATCTGCAGAGAACTGGACTCTGGTCTGAGCATTCTGCTCTCTCCCTCTCTTCAGGATGTAGATGCTGCATATATGGGCAGAATGGATCTGCATGGCAAAGTGGACACCTTGAACCAGGAGATTGAATTCCTGCAACATCTCTTTGAGGCGGTGAGGAGACAAATGGACAGACATGATTTGAATACATTTATGTATCACTGGAGAGTCTCCCATGAAGGCGTGAGCTCACCAGTGTAACTAAATTGGTAAAAGTTTGGAGCCTACAGGACCAAGCCTTTAATCCTAGCATTTGGAGGCAGAGGCAGGTGGTGTGAATTTGGGGCCAGCCTGGTCTATGAAGATGTTGTAGGCCATCCAGGGTGACACAGAGAGACACGGTCTCAAAAAGAAAAAAGTTGGGAACTCACCCTTTTAATGAGTATTACCTCTCATATAGTAGATGCGTTCAACAGGGCCAGGCCCTGGGCCAACTTTGTGCATAATCCTCTTAACAGCTCCATAGTGTAGGTGCTACTATTGTGCCCATTTGAAAGCCAATGGTACTGTGGTACAGAGTAACTGTAGAGGCAGTGCCCTTTGCCTGATCAGTTTGTAATGGGGCAGCAGGGATAGGCAAACAGGGATTGTGCTCCAGGTTTGTCTGGTAGGGTGGCGGGTAGTTCAGTGAGTCCAGGACCAATCCCAGGAGACAGGGATCCTCGGAGACTGGGTCCAGAAGGTTGAGTTTAGTGGGAATTTATTAGAGAAGCAGATATTCCTAGCATCAGCAGGGACCTCACAGCTAACCTTCCATCCAGGGTAAAACCCCTTTCTGTGCCATCCAGACAGGGGATCATGCAGCCTCTACTTGAATCCTCCAGGAGGTGGGGTGCCCACTGCCTGTGAGGTCAGGTGTTGCCCCCACTGAGAGCTCTGTTAAAAGGTGACTAAGGCTGGGCGGTGGTGGCGCACGCCTTTAATCCCAGCACTGGAGGCAGAGGCAGGTGGATCTCTGTGAGTTCGAGGCCAGCCTGGTCTACATAAGTGAGTTCCAGGACAGCCAGGGTTGTTACACGGAGAAACTCTGTCTCAAAAAACCAAAACCAAAACCAAACAAAAACAACAAAATGTTGACTTGAATCTTATGACGATGAAGAAACAAAAACCTGAGGGATATGAGAAGCCAGACAACAGGGCTCTTAGTATTTAGCAAGCAGATGGGCGGGGAAGGCAAACAGACATCTATTCTTGCACCCCAACATTCCTTTAGTTTGTGTACTGTGTTTTAGATACCACCTTGTCATTCTGGATGTTTAGACAGTTTCTGGAGATTTTCACATGGATGCTTTTAAGAGTGATGTACACACACTTTTCTCCAATAATTGGGTAGTTGAAAAAAAAAGTATGTGTATGTGTATGTGTGTGTGTGTGTGTGTGTGTGTGTGTGTGTGTGTGTGTGTGTGTGTGTAGGCAAGTGCTATGCCACTGAGCTCCATCTCCAGAGATTAGTTTTTCAAACAAGCCCTGGCTATATAATCCATCCTGGTCTGACACTCACAGCCCTTTTCCTGCCTCAGCTTGCCCACCAAGCGCTAAGACTATAGGCATGGTCCACCACACCTTGTGCTAGCTGAATTTTTATACAAAACGCAAGAGTTAATGTCTCTCTTCCTCCCTTATACTGCTACTGGAGTGTGTACCATCAAGCAATGCCATGTAGGCACTTGGGAACTGGATCGTCCTATCCCATGAGTTAGTGGTGCCTTTAAAAAAAAACTGGGTAAATGTTCTGTTTAGAATTTTTAAATTAAAATATTTTTATGATTATTGTTTTTTTGAGGGACTCATGTACCCCAGGCTAGTCTCAAACTTGCTATGTAGCTGAGACTGACTGAACTCTTCATCTTCCTGTGTTGACTAAGATTACAGGTGTACACCACCACTCCTGGCTTGAACCCAGGGCTTTGTGCATGCTAGATAAGCACTCCATGAACTAAGTTACTCACCCAGACCCTCCTGTTTTGGTCTTTGACAACATTCCCACATAAGCCATTGATGGAGGCAAGAAGACAATCAAGGTCAAGAACAGAGCCCTAAGCTCTCCATTGGTGACTTTCCAAAATTCTGTCATTTTATTAATCAAGATTGTGTAGCTAAAGCACCCCAGCTACTTCAACATTCACCTAACCAAGATGGTGTGGTACCTTATGACTGTAATCTCAGTACTTGGGAAGCTGAGGCAAGAGGCCCAAGTTCAAGGCCAGCTTGGACTATACATAATGAAGGCCTGTCCCCAATCTATTTAATATACTATCTTCTGGGGCACATTACCATGTCTTATTTTCCTTTTTTCCCTTTTGAGACAGGGTTTCTCTGTGTAACAATCCTGACTGTCCTGCAACTTGCCTTGTAGACCAGGCTGGCCTCGAACTCACAGAGATCCACCTGCCTCTGCCTCCCGAGGGCTGGGTTTAAAGGTGTGCGCCATCACCACCTGTCTTGTCTTATTTTTTAAATTAAATTATATTCATAATTATTTGCAATGAAAGGGGGCGGGGCAGAAGTTGACTTTGGGTATCTTCCTCAAGTGCTCTCCACTATAATTTTTTGAGACAAGGTCTCACATTGAGCCTTGGGGATCCACCCGTCTCCCTGCACTCCAGTGGTGTTACAAGGCACACACCAAGCTTTTTACACAGCTGCTTGGATCCTAACTCATGCTTGTATAACAAACATTTACTGCCTGAGTGATCTCCCCACTCTCTCTCGTCTTATTTTTTGGGATTTCTGGAAAGGTCAGATAGTGTTCACGGTAAGTTTTTTGGCTATCTAGCAACACACTCATGTGTGAAAATGAGACCTGCTTGGTTTTACATTTCCTCAGGCAACTCTTGGTGGCTCCATGCCTCCTTCCATGTTTTATAATTCCTTCCTTTGCATCCTGACCTCTTCCCTCTGAGGAGCAGGGCATTTGCGCTTGGGCTCTGGACTCCTCATCCCTGTTTCTCTGGGATGGCTCAGTGTTCATCTTCTTGGCCTTCCCCAGGGCCTCCTAGGATCTGCCCCCCCCCCCCCCCCCCCCGGACTCTGAGGTTGCCTACGCCAAGGCCTCTCTTACATGTTCCAAGTCTATCTTGGGTTTCTGTTTCCAGTCTGAAGACTGTTCTCTGTGCTGGAGCTGAGGCAGGTGATGCGGTAGTTGAGTTAGCGTCCAGGTCTTCTGCAGACATTAGTCTGGTGTCCCTTTCCTCTTGTATTTCCCGGTCTGCTGGGCTCTTCTGCTTTCTTCCATCTGGTTAGCTAGGTGGAGCTTGCCATAAAGGAGTCTGAGTGTTTCCCATGTCTCTTTGCTGGGATTCCCTGGTGGTCTCTCAGGAGTGAGGGCTCTCCCATCCACCCTCAAGCTCAGTCGTCTGTTCTCAGTGTTTCAGATTTGGCATCGCTCTATCCAAAGCACAAGGCTGGCTGGCTCACTCGGCATCCCTCTCTTCTGCCTTGCCTTGTTCACTTAACAAGCATTTATGGGGTTCCTCCCACATAACAAGTAAGGCAAAGTTCCTGCCCTTGGGGCCGGGTTCTGAAATGAGGAAAGCCCTGTTGGGACAGACTCAGGGTGCCAAGGCACAGGGAGGCTGTGGTGGGGGCTCCGGAGGGCAGGAAGGGAAGTCCTCTGAGGAGACAATACCTGCAAGAGATCTTAAGGAAGAGCCAGACTCCAGAAGCAGACACAGGAAGGGCCCAGCTGAGCAGGGACTTGGCATCAAAGGGTGCAGTGTCTGGGGTGGCAGGAAGTTGGCAAGTTGGGCATCGAGTAGGTGGGAGAATGAAATGAAGCTGTAGAAAGAGAAGGTAGCTGGGGGATCACTTCCTGTCATCCATCAGGGCTTCTTCATCCATCAGGGCTTCCTTTCACGGAAGGAGGAGGACCAGACCAATGGTTCTCTTTCCAGTCGTGGTGGCTAATCTGGCACTCAGGATTCAATTCCATGCTCTGGTTTTGGCCATGCCAAATCTAAAGGAAACCTGGAGGGTGAGCTGGTTCTTACTGAATGTCTCACTGACATGAAAACAGCATTTGAGTCCCCTCTCCAGCCTGGGGGACATCCAAGGATCCAGCTCCCCCCATGACTCCACTTCTGTCTCTCTGGCTCGTTTGCCTGGGTACCTCCACCGTCCTCCACCTTAGTGTCCCTGACGTCTGTGGACACGTACTTTCCCTGCCGAGGGGCTCTTCCTGTGTATTTTCACTGGCTCTGCTTCACGGAACACCTGGACCTTTCTCTCCGTGTTATGTCATGACACCAGTCACTACGGAGGTTGCCATTGGGTGGAGGGTTTCTGTCCTGTTGCTTTACAAATTCCAGGTTGATTCTACTCAGGCCACAGGCTGCTCTGTGGTGGCCTGAGGTTGGGGTTTGGGGTGCTGGAGCTGGGAGGCGATGCTGACTGGGTGTCCCAGAGGATAACAGGCACACAGGGCCGTGATGAGTCATCTGGGACAAGGAGGCCTTGGGGCCCCTTAACCTTCAGGAATCTGAGCAGATGAGTGGATTTCCTGAGCACCCACCGTGTCCATGTCTGATCTGAACCCTCGCAGCCACCATACACCATAATGACACACATAGAATGTCGGTTCTTTGAGACTCACATAATGACACACATAGAATGTCAAGTTCTTTGAGACTGCTGGTACATAGCAGGCCAGGAGTAGCTTGTCCCCCAACTTCTGCCACTTCTCCTTTCCACAGTTGCAGTGACTCATTTCTCCCCACCTTTGTGCTTAGAGCACAGCCAACATCCCACGTCAGTTAGGTATGGTTTTGGCCTCCATCTCTTAGCTTTTTTTTTTTTTTTTTGGTCTGAGTCATCTCAGGTTCGAGGTCAGGCTGCCAAGGGGTTGACAAGAGCTTCTCTTACTGCTTTTTGATTTAGGGCAAGTGACTTCATCTCTCTATGGAACAAAAAAAAAAAGAAGTTTGTCCTGAATTCTAACCCATCTTGCTTGCTGCGTGGCCAGGCTGGTGACCGCACCGCAGTGGCTGCTCAGAAAGGGAAGAGTGTTGTGTCTCTCTCTCTCTCTGTCTGCCATAGTCCCCTGGGCTGTGTGTGAGAGATGCTAGAGACGCAGTGAGAATACGGAAGGCATTTTAAATCTTTTTTTCAAGACAGAGACTCATACTGTAGCCCCGGCTCCTTGGAAACTTACTGTGTAGCCCAGGCTGCTTGGAAACTATGTAGCCCAGGATGGTTTCAAGTTACAGCCGTCCTTTGGCCATGGACTCCTGAGTGCTGTGAGCGCAGGCAGGAGCCACCATGCTCAGCAGCCCTTTGCCCTTGGAGGGAAGATACTCTGCTCGTCAGGGAGTCTATGAGGAGGGACCAAAAGCACAAACAGTTTTCCAGCTGGAGTTGAGGGCAGTCTGGTACCGGCTCAGGGAGCCAAGGGGCAACTGAGGCAGAGCTCCTGGGAGCCAATGAAGTTGTGATCCGGTGAACATATCACAGACCCTCAACTTCCGTTATCTTCACATCACCTTCCCAGTCACCAAGGCATCTTTTAAAAAGTTGGTGGCCCTAGAAAAGCAAGGACATCTTGAGAACATCATAGTCTAGTGCAGGGATTGTCCGAAGCCATCCGGGCTTTGTCACTGTTTGGTTCCAATGTCACCCCTTCCCCCTGCACCTGGTACTCTGGTGTGAGTCTCTCTCCGCCCTTATCATCAGGATCACTATGGATGGTGGAGCAGGTGTCTCTGAGCATGCTGCCTGCCCTGGGGGCACAGAAGTAGCTTTCAGGCTAGCTGGGAGGTTTCTGTGAGGATCACAGAAACCAGTGAATGTGCTAGCACTGAGCCAGAGTGGCACAGGGCAGGAAGGGACACTTCCCTCATCCCCCCCCCCCCAGATCTCTCAGCGGGAGGCCTGTGGATCAACAGTGAAGATGAACGCCTATGTCATCCAAGAGATGGAGGTTCTTTTTCAGTGGTAGATTCTTTCTAGAGTGGATCCTGAGGAAGCCTAGGATGTCCCTCCGAGGCCATGCAAGGGTCCTGTTCTCCATCCCTTGCTTCTGTCTAAGGCTTGGAGCAGGGCTCTGGTGGTAGCTACTCCTTTTTCTTTAGGAGCTGAGCCAAGTGCAGACCCATGTGTCTGACACCAATGTTGTGCTCTCCATGGACAACAACCGCAGCCTGGACTTGGACAGCATCATCGCTGAGGTCAAAGCCCAGTATGAACTGATTGCCCAGAAGAGCCGGGCTGAGGCTGAGTCCTGGTACCAGACCAAGGTGAGCAGAGGACTAGCTTGGGTGTGCAGGTGGTGGATGAACCTCCTCCCCTGAAGAGGCCCAGCCTACTGGGCTCTTGGAGCCCTAGGACCTGGTCTACTCAGCTCTCACGGGACTTCCAGAAGAGGGTGGGCTCTGAGGCTAACAGTTAGCCAGCAGGTTTTCAATAGTCACTGACACTTTTTCCGGCCTCCAGTATGAAGAGCTGCAGGTGACAGCTGGGAAACATGGGGACAGCCTTCGAGACACCAAAAATGAGATTGCAGAGCTCACCCGCACCATCCAGAGACTGCAGAGTGAGGTGGATGCAACCAAGAAGCAGGTAGGCCACAGGGTCAGCCTGGAAAACTCCAAGTCTGACCTATCAAGATCAACCTGCTCCTTTTGGGAAGGGGCTCCTAGGACAAGTAACTGGGGTTCAGACAGGGGAAGGGACTTGCTGAAGGTCACAGAGTATATAAGTGCTAGAGCAAGTGGAATGACTTCCTTCAAAGCGGTGAGTTTATCTTGTCTCCAGGATGTCAGGGGGCGGGGCAAAAGGGTCTATGGTGCTGACTCTATGTAGGTATGGCCAAGCAGTGTGGCTTCTTCTATAGTCAGAACACAGCACTTGCCGGGCAGTCAGGTTGTATTACTCATTTCACTTCTTCCAAAGCCTTGGGGGAATCTGAAGGAGGGACTGTGATTAGACTTCTGGGTTTTCTCAGTTCTCTTATTAATTCCCTTTCAGTTACAATGTCTCCTTCTGCTTTTCCCAAGTTGGTTGGGTAGGGTGTGGGGCTTCTGGCTTGAGAGCAAAGAGATGAATGGGATAACCCTGGAAGGTGTTCCCAATGCTACTTTCCTGTGGGCAGTGCCAGCAGCTGCAGACCGCCATCGCAGAAGCGGAGCAGCGTGGGGAGATGGCGCTCAAGGATGCCAAGAAGAAGCTTGGAGATCTAGACACAGCCCTGCACCAGGCCAAGGAGGACCTGGCCAGGCTGCTTCGTGATTACCAGTCTCTCATGAATGTCAAGCTGGCCTTGGATGTGGAGATCGCCACCTACCGCAAGCTACTGGAGAGCGAGGAGAGCAGGTGGCAGCCCCTCTGCCCCTCTGCACACCTTGGGGAGACCTGGAGTCTGTGGGTGGGACAGAGGGTGGTGGTGGTGGTGCTCTAGGGCTCTCCTCCAACTCCCAGCTCCCCTGTTTCTGCTGTTCACTTCCTGGATGAACTGACTATTCATATCCTTTGGGGTGTCCCTGCTCAGCATCAAGGTTTATTTGGCCAGATCAGGCTCAACTCCTTCCATTGGGAAAGACAGGAGGTTCTGTCCTTAGGGATGTGGGGTGCTCTCAGTGTCCCTACAGGAAGTGGGAGTGAAGGGAGGCTTCCAAGCCTCCTGCAGAGCTGTCTTTAGGCTTTGCTGGGAGGCCTTGAGTCCTGGATTGCCGCATACCCCTACTACTCATATCTCTGGGTCTTGTCCTCAGGCCCTGGCACCAAGTTGGTTGCGTGTAGAGGCGAGGGGAGGGAGGAAAGGTTTAAACATGGATTTCCAGACCGCTGACCACTCCGGGCTCTTGTTTCCCCTAGGATGTCCGGAGAGTGTCCCAGCGCAGTCAGTATCTGTAAGTACTGCCACCCTCCCGGCCCCTCCCCGCCCCTCCCCGCCCGTGCTTCCCGGTCCAGGTCCTAAGGGGCCCTTCTTGGAGAGTCAGGGTTAAGGGTCCGGCAGTGTGATCTTCCAGCGGTTTGCCGCATTACCCTGCTCTAGTCCTTTGGGGGGATTTCTGGGATCCCCCTGTCCCCTCCTGGCTCCGACAGCTCCACTAAGCCAGAGCCTTTGCTTTGCAGCGGTGACTGGCAACTCTACCTCGGTGTGTGCGGGCGGCGCGACCAGCTTCGGGAGCGGCCTCTCTCTGGGCGGGGCTGGTGCGGCCAGCAAGGGTGGCTTCAGTGCCAACGTGAGCTACGGCACTGCCAAGGGCGGGCAGGTCTCCGGGGGAACCTCCATCCTGCGGAAGACCACCACGGTCAAGACCTCTAGCCGGAGATACTAGCAGCAAGGCTTTGTGGGCGGGGCTGGGCTGCGGTCCTTGAGCTGGCCACGCCTTCACAGCACCGCGGGGGCTGAGTATTCTTAGTGCACAATTTTCATACGATTTGCATTTGGGAAAGGGCTCAAATTCACTCAGATTTTTCTCCTTGGTGATGCAGTGGGATGGGAGGGAGGTTAGGGTCACCAGCTGGATGACTTGGGGTGACCTGACCATTTTGATAGAGGAAGGAGGATGTCCATTTCTACTCGTTCACCTCAGCAGATGTGCTCTGAGTTTAGGGCAAGCTGGAGGAGGAGAGAGGAGGCAGCAGTGGTTCCCAGAGCCCTCCAACCTCCTCAGTTTCTCACCAGACGTCACCTTTGCCACCTCATGTCCTAGCCCCTGTCTGTGCCTGTGATGTGTCTCAATAAACAGCAACTACAGCAAGCTGCCTGTGGCTCCAGTCTGAATCCCTGGGGAACTGGCATGTGCCATTGGGCAGCACTCAGGGCACAGGTGCAGACTTCTACACTCCTCCTGCCTTCAGAACCAGGCGGGCTTTGGTCAGATCTCACCTTTGCCACTATTAGCTGTGTGAACTTGGGCACAGTCCTGAGCCTAGTTTCTTCCTTTGTAGAAAGAGCAGCTGTGAGGGGACATGGAAAGCATGTGGCTTAGGGAGCCCTCCCCTAGCCCCCTTCCCTTCCCTGGATTCTCTGCACACACCTCAGGTGATTCCACCCCCCCCCCCCCGCATCTGGTCACCAATACAAACACACATTTAATTGGACTGTGTGCTTTATAGATACATTACTTTGCTCCAGGATTCAACAGGGACCCAGGGCTCTCCATTTTCTAACTCCGGTAATGGAGGCTCTTAGGAGTCAGCTTGCGTGCCCCCTGTAGTGACAAGTGAGTGGGGGCTAGGGCTTTCCAGGTCCCTCTGCTACTGAAGTTCCTTCACCCTCTCTGCTTCCTGTCTCCCAGGTCACCTCCTTTCCTGCTCACCTGCCTGCACCTCCTCCCCAGCCTGGACTCCACTCCTCACTGACATGTAAAAGGTGGAGGCCCAGCTATCTCTCCCCTGTTCCACCCTGCCCACAGCCTGTGCTCAGTCAGAGCTTCCTCTGCTGCCCGAGTGCTGCTGAGCACTGCTGAGCACGGGAGCCTATGCTCTTAGTTGTGCTCCCCAGAGGACTCAGGAAGGTTGGTGTCAAGGCTGGGGGATACGAGCCGAGGTTCTGAACCAAATCCTATTTCCCAACCAGGGGACACAGCACCTTGACTTGGCAAACAACACTCCCCACACCTCCACCTCCACTGAGCTTTTCCTCCAGGGGCTCCTCATGCACTTGGGATGAGACTTTTGGGGATGAGAGCTTAGGCACTTGGATTCTCCAAGAGGCTAACTCAATCTCTCCAACAGTCTCTGATTTAAGCACTCTGAGAGGCTAACCCAGTCTCTCCAACAACCCCATTTCCAGATGAGGAAAATAAGGCACAGAGTGGTTAAGTAACGTTTTAGGGCCACAGAGCTGGATGTAGAATCCAAAAAAAAAAAAAAAAAAAAAAAAAAAAGTTGCCTCAAAGCCCAAGCTCCTCGTTGGGTTATGCCACCCACAGAGAAAAAGAAATTGGTAGGCAGTCGGTCCAAACTGTTATTTCATGGGAGAGAAAGACTGCCGGTGGTGGTGGTGGTGGGAATCTGGAGGGGACACTTGTGCCTGAAAGCCACCAGAAGTTAATGGCTCCACTTAAGGTAAATTTAGGGTCTAGAAGCTGAGCAATATAGTTTTACCCAGCTTGTCATCAAGCTCAGAAGTGACTTTGTAGACTGGGATCCTTCCCATGGGGCACTCCTAGTTGAGGGCTTCAGCGGGTGGGGAGGGAAGGCCAGCTGCAAGGGTAGGGCTGCTGTACTATAGCTCGGTTTCTGTCCCTGTTGTCTGAAAGCTTCAGCAAGAGTGTTTGGCTATGGGAAGGGTTGAAAGCCCCTGCTGGCACATGCCAGGGGCAAGAGACCAAGCTAGCTGATCCATGACCTTTTCTGGCCCTGGCCTGAAGAGCCCTACCTTCCTTCCAGCTCCCCGGGGCCTCCCGAGTGCAGGCCTCTTTCATGCAGGATTTCTGATCCCTCTGCTGGCTCTGGCTCCCTCAGAGTGACTCAGGCCATGGGGCAATTGAGATTAGGTGACCCAGTGGGGCCAGGGAACCCACCTGACCAGGGAAGGCAAGATCCTTTCCCACACTGCTCTGCAGGTTGGGGCTGACAGTGACAGAGGCCTCAGGATCTGTAATCCCAGGTTGAATGGGAAGGCTTCGCCTCCTGCACTCAGAAAGCTCTGAACGAACACACCCTCCCACTCCTGCTCCATGCCTGACAGCATCTGGCTTACTTCTCAGAGCCAGGCTTGGGCAGGTGGCCAAAGGAAGCAGGGTCACCAAGGGCAGTAGCAAAAGCCAAAGCTGTGTGTGCACAGGGCTACAGCGGGAGTGTGAGACCAGTGTTCAATTGTCACCTCCTGGTGGACACTTGTTTTTGTCATGCCCCATCTAGAATGGGGGAAAAAACCCCAAAAAACCCTCTTCTTTGCTTCCCTTACCACAGGGACTAAACCATCTCACTTGGGAAGTTCTTGCTTGTGTCTACCTGCAGTTTCTTATCTACGGGTTGAGGATTCTGCAAAGTATCAGCAATTCTGTTTTAATAAACTCACAGGATATACATTGAGAACAGAACATTCTTCTTGTTTGATCTGGGTTTATATATGTTTATAATTTACAATTACATTAATTTGTATTTAGTTAATTGGATGGCACAAGATTGGCCTTTGAGGACCATGTCATGACTTAATGAATATCTGTTAGGACAGGGTCACCCAAACCAAGTCACCAGTCACACAGAGTAGGGACAGAAAGGACTGAGCTGGAGCATGCCGTGTTTCCCCAAGACTCTGCTGCTGTTCTGGAGGGTCATCAACTGTGGGTGGCTGAGAATTCTGCACGGGGTAGACACCCACATAAAACAGTGAACAGAAAGCTAAGGTCATGAGCTTTAAGCTCAAGCCTACAGCACTGGCCTCTTATGCCCATTATTTTTGAGCTGTTAAATCTCAGGAAAGAAAGACAACCTTTCTGAGCCTCAATGTCTCTTTGCTAGAATGGCTGAGAAGAATAAAAGTGTCCCAAGAAAAGTTCCTGGTGTTGTGCATACAACAGACATTCTAAGAGAGTTGCTTCTACCCAGAATGCACTGGGCTTCTCTATTCTGCTTTTTGACTTGAAGGAACAGGCATATGCTTCAAGTAACTATCAGGGAAGTCTTCAGTCATGGCTTCGTGGTTTGGATGATCCCCAGGCACAAAATTAGGGGGACTGTGTATTATTATGTGTCATTTCTCTCAAAATCCCCTAGTCCCGGCTTCTTCTTCTTCTTTTGTTCTTTTTGTTTTTCAAGACAGAGTGTCTCTGTGTATCCTTGGCTGTCCTGGAACTCTCTCTGTAGACCAGGCTGGCCCCAAACTCACAGAGATCTGCCTGCCTTTGCCTCCAGAGTGCTGGAATTAAAGGCATGCGCCATCACTGTCTGGCTCTGACTTCCTTTTTATTCAGTACTTGACATGACCATGCACTTGTGTAATTTTCTCCCAAGTTTGGAGTATTATAGTCCCACATACAAGACCCAGAAGTATGCCATGAGCCCCCTGGGGCTTTATCTGGCACCTATGGAGGTTAGAGGTGAGATCTGGGTGTGTGTGTGTGTGTGTGTAGAGAGAAGGGCAAGAGGGTGGCTCTCAAAACACCCTGCACCCCCACCACCTGCATCAGATGGTCCTTGAAATCTGGAGTTTTGCCACCTTCTGGCTAAGCCACACCTACCCTCAGACTAGGGTGGGCATGCATAGGCCTGGATGCAGTGTCCCATAGTCCTTTTGTCTTTTGAATCACAGAGCTTGGCTCAAAACTGGTGCCCAGCAAACACAGAAGCAGAGGGGCAGCACCTCCCTGCTCTGTCATGCTCACCGGCTCCAGCTTTCTGTGCACATCTGGGTTCCTGCCCTCCCAGTCTGGGCTCTGACCCTCCCAGGCCCCGAGTAGGTTTGCTGTGGCCGGCTGGACAGTGTCAGGGCAGAGGAGGTGGGGGAGAGTTTCGAGGACTGACAGCTGAACTGTCTAGTCTGGTCTTCCCTGTAGCTCCATCCCTAGGGCCGGACCCATGCTCATCTCCCCGATCCCTACCCTGAGTTCTTTGTGCATCAGGGAAGCTTTTGGGGAACATGTTTCATTGACATGGGTGGCTCAGGCCTGTAGGGTTATCTAGGTTGCTGGTGGCTGCTCCTTCGCACATCTGGGCCATTTCCTCAGTGATGGATGGAGGAGGGAACACAGACGCATTGGATTTCCTAGTGCCTGGACAGGATGAGAATGAGTGCCCGTTGGCCTCCAATGCACTGGGTACCTTGGGTACATTGTCTTATCAACTATGCACAGGGACATGTCTTGTTTTACATATGAGTTGGCTGGGCTCAGAGGGTCAGGTGACCACCCTAGGCTGCACAGCTAGTTAGTGAGAAATCTGATATAGTTCAGTTAGGAGGATCCCAAATTCTAGGAGTAAAAATAGGACTTTGCATCTTATACACGGCTGGGAGGAGGGGCCTGAACTGTCACCATTCTGCCGAAGCTGTCCTCAGAATCGAGAATGTTAGGAACTTCTTTCCAAAATTCTGGGATCACATTGGAAAAACCAAATGTCCTATGCTCTGGGGAAGCCCAGTGGGCCCCAGGGTGGCCGCAGGCCACATGGTGAAATCCCAGACAGGAGCTCCTTTGGATCTTGCTTGGAAAGGCTACCAGGCTGGAACTGTAAGAAAAGAGCCTCGTTTCCTAGGTGAACACAGGGCCAACGACAAATGGAGGATAAGAATGATGGATACAGAGCCTGAGAGCAGCTTGTGACAGCTTACTGAGCATCCATCCATGATCATGATCTCACTTGTCTTGAGAGGAAAGGTAAATATTTGCATTCTCTCCAATTTATGAGTACCGAGGCTGAGCTCAGAGAGCGGCTTGTTCAGGTCAGGGTGTGTAGCCTGGCAGTGGCAGGCTGTGTCCTGGAACCCAGGTTCTAGGTCCCAGAGTCTGTGGCATGAAATTAGGGGTGACAGGGCTATGTGTCTGGAGCAGGAGCCCCGTGAGGCTGGCCAGGGAGGTGGAAGGGCAGTGGGGCTTGGCAGGGCTGAGCCAGGTGGGCTGTGATGCAGGAGGCCCTCGGGCACCAGCTCAGGGAGGGGACGGGACCGTAAGCCTTGTCCTCCCAGTGACTTCTGTAGGTGTGTTTAGTGACATGCTCAACAGGTGCAAGAAAGATGGGCCTGTGCCAAAGGCCCAGCCCAGGGATGCTTCGGATTTTTCCCTTTATGCCCCTGAAACCAAACCCTGCTGCTCCAGCCCATATAAGCAACAAGGGCCAAGGGCTCTGGCATTCACGACCTGGCCCTCGCTTCGCTTCTGCTCCACGCTCACCGCAGCTGCCTCCTCTCTCAGCCATGATTGCCAGACAGCCAAGTGTCCGCGGAGTCTCCCGGGGCTTTAGCAGCGGCTCAGCCGTTGCCGCCGGAGTCAAGCGGGTGGCCTTCAGCTCGGCCTCCATGTCTGGGGGTGCAGGCCGGTGTTCCTCTGGGGGCTTTGGCAGCAGGAGTCTCTACAACCTCGGGGGTCACAAGAGTATCTCCATGAGTGTGGCTGGGTCCTGCCAAGGCGGTGGCTACGGTGGTGCCGGAGGATACGGTGGTGCCGGAGGCTACGGTGTTGGAGGCTTCGGTGCCGGGTTCGGGGCTGGCGGCTTTGGCGGTGGCTTTGGAGGTTCCTTCAATGGTCGAGGTGGTCCTGGCTTCCCCGTCTGTCCTGCTGGAGGTATTCAGGAAGTCACCATCAACCAGAGTCTGCTGACACCTCTTCAGGTGGAGATTGACCCAGAGATCCAGAAAGTCCGCACCGCAGAGCGTGAGCAGATCAAGACCCTCAACAACAAATTCGCTTCCTTCATTGACAAGGCGAGTGAGCCCGACATGAGCAGAGGGTGGTGGGAATGAGTCCTGCGGCCATGGGTCTTAGCCAGGAGGTCATCTCGTACCTACTTCTGCCTCTGGGTGAAACCACTCATTTCTGAGGCTGCTTGAAGTGCAGAGGGGATGCTCTTTCCTTTTCTAACCCAGCTTCCCTTCTCCTGCAAGAGCTGGAGATCCCCCTGTGTAGGCTCAATTGTGGCCATGCATCATGGAGTCTAGTTACTCAGAACTCCATTGCTAGGGACCAGTGTGATGCTCCTGCTCAGGCTGTTCTGGGTCACTGTGCATCAAGGTTTTGGTTCCTTTAGGTATTTGAGACAAGAGCGAACCACCTTGAAGAGAATGTGTGGGTACACTTGCTCTTCCCACTGGCTCAGAGAAGCCTATAGTGGAGGCTTTACTGTGACCCCAGGGATACAGACTGGAACACCAGACTGAGACCTTTTGGTGCCTTCTTGCCACATCCCTTTTCCTCTCACCTTTTGGGTTCAGAGGTGGGACTCTCATTTGTTGTGTATAACATGGAGATGCTCTGCTAGGCCACTCCTTCCACTGGCCTGGCTAGGTGCTTTAGAGAGGGAAGGCTCCAGGAAGTCCTTGTCAGGGTGGATTCTAGCTGAGTCTCAGAACATGTATGGACTTAGCTGCATACAGATCAGGAAACAAGGGTTTCCTCTGTAGCTCATGTTGGCTTCAAACTCATGGCCTTCCTGCCTCAGCCTCCGGATTTCTGGATCACACAGGCACACCGCCATGCTTAGCTTATTTTCGAAGTCTCTGGTGAATGTGTCTGTTCTTCTTTGTGGGTTAGGATCCCTTGAACGTAAGCAGCGGCCAACTGTGCTTGTACCTCCTGGTCACACTTGATTCGATGATTTCACAGACACTTCTGTTCTGGGTCCTGGGTCTGTTGTGGTTAGAAAGCTGTGTACCTGCTGTACTGTCAACCCTACACTTGTTCTCCAAGCTATGTGTCCCTCAGACAGCTATGGGCCCAGGGTGTGCTTGTCATGATGGTGCCCTGGGCTTGCTATGTGGTGGCGCAAGCTGGGTGACTCTTGGGTGATCTGGCTGCCTGGACCACCTAGGCTGGAACTGGCTGCAGACCACCCTCCTGCTGCAGCTTCTGGCCCTTACTAGCAGCTTGTGTCCTTTTTCACCAACAGGTGCGGTTTTTAGAACAGCAGAACAAGGTCCTGGAGACCAAATGGAACCTCCTCCAGCAGCAGACCACCAGCACATCCCCCAGAAACCTGGATCCTTTCTTTGAGACTTACATCAATGCCCTGAGGAAACATCTGGACTCTCTGACCAATGACAAAGGGCGCCTACAGTCAGAGCTGAAGCTCATGCAGGACAGTGTGGAGGACTTCAAGGCCAAGTACGTGAAGAGAGGGAGGGCTGGCCCACATCCAGGCTCCTCTCCAGCGGCTTGGGACCTGAGGAATCCACAGCTGGGCGAAAGCTCCTCTAAGCCAACCCTCATATTCAAATGGTCACGTTTTCACAGGCAGAGGCCAAGGGGCCACTAGCTGCTTTGATCAGTGGTAGATTTAGGTTCCAGGGTTTGCTGGGTACAAAGAGGTTCAGAAAAAAAAAATGGATAGCAGCATTAGCCTGGCCATAGGTTGGAATATAGATTGATATATAGATTGGAAAGAGGTGGAGCCAACTGAATGCTAATTTGTGGTGTGTGTGTGTGTGTGTGTGTGTGTGTGTGTGTGTGTGTGTGTGTGACCTTAGGTGAGTTTCTTAAAATCTCTGAGCTTTGGCTTTTTTAGTCTTTAATAGGAGTAGTATTCTTACCTTATGGTTGTGAGAGCTGAATGGAATAGGGAGTAGGGAGAGGGCAGATAGGACATACAATGGACAAGCAATACACAGTAGCTTTACTTTGCTCTCTGGAGGATGGGGCTGAGAAAATGAGCACATTCACACACCGAGAAAGGGGAACTAGAGTGTTTGCCTAGAATTTAAAATCAGGGCAGTCTTCCCAATGATCTAATCTCACCACTGCACTGAGGTTTCCCCTCACATCTTGTCCCCTGAAAACAGTCTTTCTGATGCTTGTTTTTATTGTCTCTGAAAAAACCAGGGCCAAGGTGTTGGCCTCATGGATAGCACACTTGAGTGCTGCTTATGATCTGGATGTTTCCAAACTCTTAGATGTTTGGGAATAAGCAGTGGAGCTTAGAAAAGTAGCTCATGGTGGTCTTGCCTTCCTGTCCCCACCCCCAGGTACGAAGATGAGATCAACAAGCGCACAGCTGCGGAGAACGACTTTGTGGTCCTGAAGAAAGTAAGCCAGGAAGGACGGCGGGAAGAGCTCGCGGCGCCCCTCCCTGTTGGAAGTGGCTCTTGGCTTAAGTCACGTGTTTAGCCCATCTCTGCAAGGAAGATAAAGATCTTCCTTGGCTCTGTCTGGGATTGTGGTATCAAAGGAAGTGGGGGTAACGGGGTGAGATCTGTAAGGAAGTAAGTGTGTCAGGAAAACGTGTCTAGACAGTGAACGTCATGTATCCTGAGGGCTTTAGTGGCGGACACATCAGGTGATTCCCCTACCACCTTTGCTGTAAAACGCTATCAGGGCACCTGGAGGTGTTGATCAGCTGTACTTCCTGCCCCTTATCTCTTCTTCCCCCTTCTTCATCCTCCTCTTTTTTCTCCTCTTCTACCTCTGTAGGATGTGGATGCTGCCTACATGATCAAGGTGGACTTGGAGGCCAAGGTGGACAGCCTTAAGGATGAGATCAACTTCCTGAGGGTCCTCTATGAAGCGGTGAGGCCTCTGTCCTCCATTTAGAGGAGGGCGACCCCTATCTAGGATGAGGCTGTGGGTTGGAAGTCATGATTCTTAGTAGATTCCAACAATTTATGTCAAGGCAGTGGGTTCTTGGAAAGATCATGGAGAGAAAAGACCAAAGTGAGAGACTCAGTGCCGAGTTTCTCAGGACCAGATGAAGAGGACTTAGAGCTGGAGGTTGCATGGGGAGAAGCCACTGCTGCTCGTCATGTTTCCATTCTATTGTCTTCCACCCCACACACAGAGCCCCTGCCTCATTACACTCAGAGCGTTTATGTCCTTGAGGATCAGTACAGACTAGAACCATTGCTTTTTTGTCCAGAGATGTCACCAACTGTTTATTTCTCTCTCTCCCCTCTCCCTACACATGGGGACTATTAACTCTGGTTCCATCAGACCTGTTTCACAGTCATTTCCATGGAAATGGGGGGATGGTGTCAGAGATCCGGGGAGACTGACTCTACCGGGGTCTGATGTGAGACATGGGCCTTGTAGGAGCTGTCCCAGATGCAGACACACGTCTCAGACACATCTGTGGTGCTGTCCATGGACAATAACCGGAACCTGGACCTGGATTGCATCATTGCTGAGGTCCGAGCCCAGTATGAGGAGATTGCCCAGAGGAGCAAGGCTGAGGTCGAGTCCTGGTACCAGATCAAGGTAGGTGTGTGAGATGAGTGGATCCTCTAGGTACCATTGATCCTTGTTTGACTTGGGCTCTCATGGCATTTGGTACTACCGTTTCACTTGTGCTTACCCTCACGGGGTCTGCCGTATAACCTTAGAGCCCTGTTCCCCTGGGAATCAGGTCCAGCAGCTCCAGAATTCAGCTGACCAACAAGGAGATAGCCTGAAGAGTACCAAGAACGAGATCTCAGAACTCAACAGGATGATCCAGAGGCTGCGGGCAGAGATTGAGAACATCAAGAAGCAGGTGGGTGTGGGTGCCTTTATGGAGGGACAAGCAGAGAAGGCGCGAGGCTGGGAGACTCTAGGCTTGCCTATACGGCCTTGGTACCTCATGATACCAACCACACAGATCTCAGAATGCCTTGTGTAATATGATGTGATATCCCAAACACAGGGCTCCTGGCTAGTCTTCCCTGGTTTTTGTATATCTTTATCTTGTTGGTCTGATGAGGTTATTTATGGGTGAGCTCTGCGGTCTTCCCTCATGCCTGCATGGAAGTGTTCTGTCTGGAAGGAATGGGACTCTTTTTTTTCTGAGACAGGGTTTCTTTGTATATCCCTGGCTGTCCTGGGACTTGATCTGTAGATCAGGCTGGCCTCAGAGATCCACCTGCCTCTGCCTCCCAAGTGCTGGGATTAAAGGTGTGTGCCACCACCACCCAATTAGGAATGGGACTCTTGAGTCAGGAAAGATGGGGAGAAGAATGAACAGAATTCTAGCATCTTAACCAAGGGAAGATGGCCCAGGAGGAGGAACAGGTATGAAGTTCTCTGAAGCAGGGAACTGATGTTGCCCATCAATGTCCCTGTCTACAGTGCCAGACTCTGCAGGCATCTGTGGCTGATGCAGAGCAGCGTGGGGAGGTGGCCCTCAAAGATGCCTACAGCAAACGTACAGAGCTGGAGGCTGCCCTGCAGAAGGCCAAGGAGGACCTGGCTCGGCTGCTGCGTGATTACCAGGCTCTGATGAATGTCAAGCTGGCCCTGGATGTGGAGATCGCCACCTACCGCAAGCTGCTGGAGGGCGAGGAGTGCAGGTGCGGGAGGCTTGGGTTTGGGGGGGTCAGGACTCTGCTGGACTTCTTGCTGCAGTGATGTCTTGGTACTTTCTGACCAGGACCAGCAGAGCATAGGCTTGATACTCAGCTGTGTGGAAGGACGTGGGGTTCTGTTCTGCATGGCTCATGACTCTTTCTCCCCAACAGGATGTCTGGAGAATGCCAGAGTGCTGTGAGCATCTGTAAGTACCTTCTGCACCGCGTCATCTAGTCCTCTGGGTCTGGGCTGGGGACTACTGGGACTGAGAATAACTGCGCTTCCTCTCTCCTTCCAGCGGTGGTCGGCGGCAGTGCCAGCATTGGCGGCAGTGCCTGCCTTGGCGGTAGTGCCGGCATTGGTCTTGGCCTGGGTAGTGGTTTCGGCTCTGGTTCTGGTTCTGGAAGTGGCTTTGGATTTGGTGGTGGCGTCTACGGCAGTTCTGGTACCAAGATCACCTCTACCACCACCGTGACCAAGAGGTCCCAGCGATAGAAGAGACGGGGTCCTGATGCCCGGAGCCCAGCAGGGTCGGCCATTGCTGGTGTCTCAAGCTCCTTCACCTCCTCTCCCGCTTCCTTCCCAGTGCTCATCTTGTCAGAGTCTCCTCCCCTCTGCCCTGGTCCCTCAGTTCCGGGATGATCCTGGCTGTGGTGTGACCTCTGCCCTTTCGGAGCTTGGTAGCTTCTTGGTGACCCTCCTGCAGTGGGAGGGGTGTCTGATTTCACCCCAATGGACAGAAGGGATGTAGACCAGAAACTCCTTCTTCAAAACGATCAGGGTCACATGCGGCCCCTCCAGTCACACCGCCCTCCACCAGATCCTGGACATCCACCTGCTACAACTATGGTCATTCTCCGCCACCTGGCAGCAATGGACTCTGCAAGGTTACAACAAAGACTGCTTGGTGTCTTGTTCAACCCTGTTCGCCTCTTTTCATCCCCAATAAAATGCTTTTGTCATTCATCCTGAGTGGTTGACGTTGTATCCTGTGGAGAAGGCTCCAGAAGCCCATTTACTCAGATAATTTAGGTAAAGGTCTGAGGATCTGTCTGTACAGACCGAGGTCACTTTCTCAGGTTCCCCTTTCCAAGGTGCGGAAAGTACTGCTGGTGGAGATGCAGGACATGGACCCAAAGGCTGCCCAGAGGGCAGGGGAGCAGATCCACAAAACCCCAACTATATGAAAGATGGTTGTTGTAGGATGGCCTGGGACAGGATGTCTCAGTGTTGAACCTGGGATCGACCTGGAGGCTGAGTCTGGAGGTATTCAGGGCATCTGATAGTGCAGTGCCTTTCCTGGACGCAGAACACGAAGGTTAGGGCACAGCATGGACTCAATGTCTAGCAAGAAATCTTTGTTCTTATTTGCTGGTGTCTGGGATCCAACCCAAGGCCCTGCAAATGCTTTGTGTGTTCTCCGAGCTACACCCTAGCCAGAGGCCTCTCTGTGTTATGCAGTTCTATGCTTGGGATCTCAATGGACCTGAGAGGCTTTCAGGAACCTGTCCTGGGAACTAACAAGGTCAGGAGTGTTGGATGGAGGAGAGCAGGCGTGTTCTTTCAGAGTCAGAAGGCTTTGCTTGCTTCTCCACTTCCTTGGGCTAACTGGGCTTCAGTCTGGGCTGCTGCCCCTGAGAGGAGGGGGAAGGGTGGAGGACAGGCAGGCCTTATGGAGCAAGGAAGGGGGATACTTCTTGGTTGGGGTGTCCCTGGAGATTCTGTTTGGTGCTGTGCTGCAGGGGGAGAGGACAGTTTGAGGAGAGGTCTTGGTGTAGTCTTTGAGGACATTCTGTTTCAGTTCCGGATCGGGAACAATGCTACCTCCCCCTTCTAAAAACAGACAGAATATACAGCTCCCATCTCAGCCTGACCCATCTTTCCCATGGCAAGTGCCGCCTTTCCCCTTGAATTTTGGCCTGATGGTGCAGTGGGGGGGGTGTGTGGAAAGGTTTTGCCCATGCCTGGACTTACCCATGGGGCCCTCAAACAAACACTGAGGCCATATGGGGTTTCTCTTCCTCTGGGACAGAACAGAGAGCACTGACATGGGGCTATGTTCTTGGGAGAGGTTCCTGGCTCAGAGCAATCTGTCTTTCTGAAGCCCAACCCTGATCTCTCCTTTGTCTGCCCTGGGCTGGCTGCCCTCTGTGTCATGGCTGTCCGAGCAGGAAGCACCTGTAGCCTGTGAGCCTGTTAAGTGGCTTCCATTTCTTCCCCCACTGTGCCCTGCCCCTGGGAAAATGCCTGCTCAGCTCCTTTTTGAGTTTCTGGGGTGGGGAAGAGGAGTTAAGGGTTGAGAGTGAGGGCAAAGCTCCCCGCTCTTTTACCGGAAGACTGCAGGCTGCCCTAGCCCCTTCTCCTCACGCTTCTGCTCCACAGGAGTGTGGGAGTGGCCAGTCCATGGGGCTGTAGGGTCTGTCCGGCCTCTGCAGGGGCAGTTAATGATCTAGTCCATCGAGGCAGCTATAGAGGAGATGCACGAAAGTGTGTCTTAGAGTCAATGTGGCTACGTGAATGAGGCAACCGGCTGTGAGAGTTTTGGTGTTTTATTTATGTAAGACTCCTGCCTTTCATAAAAGAGGAAAACCAAGCTGGAGCGGTACACACTGTGATCCCCACGCTGAGGAAGCTGAGGCAGTGCTGAAGGTTTCTGGCCCATCCGGGCTACATGGAAAGACCTGGTCTCAAAAACCAACCAATCAACAAACCCAGCACACAACAAACTAACAGCAACAAAACCAGAGAAAGAAAAAAAAGGAAGGAAGGAAGAAGAAAAAACATTAATGTGGTCTGTTTCTGAGCAGTCTGGTAGCCTAGCCAGGGGAAAAGAGGCCAAGGGGAGGTAGAATCATAAGCATCTATTCAAAGCCTTTGGTATGTCAAGGGTGGGAGTGAACTCTATCCATGAGAAGTGTCTGTGGACAGGAGTGTGGCCAGGAAGCCTTGGTGGGGGCTGGATGCCTGGGACCCAGACTCACTGCTGCCTGACCTTGTGCCGGGCAAGACTGTCCTGCACAGCAACTGTATCGCTTCCTGTGTCTTGGATTTGCTACTTGATGATTCAAGGGAGAAGTTAGATAAAGATGTACAGAAGCTCTACAAAAAGGTTTTTCTCCCCACTCTGTGTAGCTCTGGCTGTCCTGGAACTCACTCAGTAGCCCAAGTTGACCTCGAACTCAGAGATCTGCCTTCCTCTGCCTCCTGAGTGTTGGGATTAAAGGCGTGCACTGCCACACCGGGCTTGTGAGAAATGTTTTTGACTGTCACCTGCCAACCAACCATCTATTCGCCCATCCATTCATCATTTCAACAAACAGCCCAGAAGCCCTGGCTGGATTCATCACGATGTCCATTTCTGTATGTCTGTCTTTTAGTGGCTGTTTAATAAACGGTTATGGAATGAACCAACCAACTGCTGTTGGCTGAATGCCCAGCCTGTGCTAGGCAATGTATGGACCCCAATACAAAAGGAAGACGAGTCTTTGGGGGAGGTTTTGGTATAGATGGTCATGTCTATATCTTAATGACTTGGTAGTTAAATAGACAGATGAATGCCATTGAGAGCTACAAACCAAAGCAATGGCTGTCCAGGGGAAGGTGAGATGACTTCCAGTCTTGGGAGAGGGCTTGGAAACACCAGGAAGCATCACACAGGAGATGGTATTTAAGGGTTAGAGTGCCGGGGGTGGGGGTAAGTGCTCTCCCAGCAGGACTCTCAGGGAAGCTGCTTCTTCAGTAAATCTGTCAGAGGCTGCCCTGTGCTGAACACCAGTGCTGGGTCTCCCTTGAGCCTCTTTGGGTAGATTTTGAGTACACCCCTTTCTCCGAGCAGTGCCCTGATAGGTGACAGCATCTCTCCCACATCCTGGAGTTCTTGTTTGATGCAGCAGTCATGGGCTCTGGGGGACAGGGGCTTCCTTTGACAATCCTGTCTGTGAATACCTTTTCTGTGTTGGCTTTGTGGGAGGCCACAGGGACAGAGAGGTCATGACAGATGAGGCTGATGCAAAGGAGGATGTAGCCTGAGTATGGAGCATGACTTCGGGAGTCCTGGGGACAGACACATTACCCACAGACATTCCAGAATTTAAGAGGGTGTTGAGAGCCATTGTAGATATCACCAAGGATCTATAAGTACCATGGAAAAGGAATTCAAGGAAGACTCTTGGAGGAAGTGACCCTTGTCTAGATAGATATAGAGCCAAGGAAGTGGCCAGATGAAAAGAGTGTGGACCTGGAGCTGGGGAAGGGCCCAGGGATGAAGGACTTCCCAGCAGCAAGAATATGAGAGTGAAGGCTTCCAGATGTGACTCAGGGCAGAATGTGACTAAGCCAAAACCAGCTTAGTGTTCCTGGAGATGAAGGGCAAGGAGTAGAAGCCAGGCTGTGGAGGACTCTAATTTGGCTGATTGTCTAATTTGTTTGGGGCTTCAGCCTGTGTCCTAAGACTAAAGGTAAGCTGAGACCAAGGTGTCTGAATAAATTAGCTCAGACAGAGAAGGGGAGGGGCTCCACGGGCTGGCCTAGAGCCCAGGTCCTGCTTTGGGCATGAACACTCTCTCCCCTGCTCTGCAGCTGTCACCTTGTGACTGCTCCGCCTCTTTTCCACTCTTAGTCACTCTTCGGATTAAGATGTTTCTTATCACTTCCTTGTCTCCTGATAGATGTATTCCTTGTTCTTCACAACATTTCTTCAACATTCTCAATACCATCTACATGCTAGGGGCCATGGGTGGCTGTTGCTAATCTCTTTAGACTGCTCCAGTGGCCATGGCCACCTGAGTCCTTCCAACCACACTCACATCCTCCATGTTAGCTCCCATTGAATTCCCCCAGTTCTTTAGTAGAGAGAGATCCTTACAAATAATTCATGGAAAAATAAATGTAGATTTCCCCCTTAACTCCGCCTTCTCCAGGTTAAATGATGGCGTCAAGATCTTTCTACCCCCCTCCTTCCTTTTTGTTTCAGCAATGTAGCTAGTAAGTTCCTAAAGTCTTTCTGGAACTTTCTGAGAGGGCAAGGCTATATTTCTGCTGCTGAGGGACTCCTCAGGGGCAAGGTCTGCTGGGATACCAGACTCAGCACATGTTTAATCACAGGAATCTCACCAGGGCAGTTTCCAGCTCAAACTCTCACTCCAGTGGCCTGAAACTTCTAATTTTTTTGTGTAGCCCTCTCTGCTCATCCCTGCAGGTGGAAGCTGGTTTTGCAAAGATAAGACAAAAGGAAGGCAGGCGGAGCGGCTCTCACCTGTTCCCCCTGGATCCCTGCGGTCTGCCTTCTACACAGCAGCCTGAGTGAGTCTTTCAATGCCAGCTCACGTCTTACTCATGTCTCCACGGTTTGACCTCAGTGGCTCCCCTCTCAGTGAAAAAGCCAGCCTCATGTGGCCCTGTGTGACCTTCCTCCCAGCTACTCAGACCTTATCGCAGAGGCCTGTCTCCCCCTCTCAGCCATTGATCGATCCTTCAGACCCCCTCCCCAGTCCCATCTCAGGGCACTCATGGATGTCTATGTTTCGGGACCCATTCTTCCAGATGTCTGCATGCTTGCTCCTTACTGCATTTACCGGACAGGTCCACAAGGCAACCCCATGAAATAGCCCCCCTTCTCTCTTTTTATTTGGAGATTCATTTATGTGCATGAATGTTTTGCCTACATGTATGTGTGGGTACCATGTGCATGCCTGGTGTCCATGGAGATCAGATGGCGAGGGTAGGATCCTCTGAACTGGAATTATGGATGGCTACAAGCCACCATGTGGTACTGG